TTGTCTTTTTTTTACAGATGAGAGCCTAGAGGAGAGTCCTGGCTTCAACCAATAGACATGAGCAAAGTATTGTCAGGGCTGAACTTTTAGCAAGCAGAACTACTGCCATTGCCTGCAGAAGTTCTGTGCTGTCCTTTGGTTTCAAAGATTTACTTTTAATTACAATACAGGCAGAGTCCTCAGGCTGTGCATTTGTAACAATAAAAACCGGAGCAATAGCAATTGTCTAAATAGAAAGTGCTACATAGTTACACTTCTAGCAATCTTGTTTCCAGCCTCCACTAACTCTCCATCCTTATCTCCGTATTTGTTTCCAAATTAGTTTACTGCCATGGATTTGATAGTAAGTCCTGATGCTTGCTTGTATACCACTCCCCCTCCCTTTCAACTTGGCCTTGTGGTGTGGTGGAGGGGAGCCTGCACCAGCTTTCTGAAAACAATCTTTTCCAGTGAATTTCTACACCCTCTAAAACAGAGGCTCATACTGTAAACCCGGCCAATTACCTGTGTCTGGAGGAACCACAGACCCTGGAGGAGAACAGGCCATTTTCCTAAACCAAAAAAGCTTCTAACCATATTCTAAATACTTATCCTTATACCCACAGATAAGTGTAGCTATTGCCCTTTGTGGCGGTTTGAATGGGAATGGCCCCCATAGAGTCATATGATTGAATACTTGGTCCCCAGACAGTAGAACTGTTCAGGAAGGATTAGGAGGTGTGGTCTTATTAGAAGAGGTGTATCACTGGAGGTGAGCTTTGAGGTTTCAAAAGGCTCATTCCATTCTCAATTATCTTTCTGCCGCTCTCTGCCTCCTGCTTGCAGTTAAAGATGTGAGCTCTGGGCTCCTGCTCCAGCACCACACCTGCCTGCCTGCTGCCATGCTCTCTGTCATGATGCTCATGGACTCTATCCCTCTGCAATGACGAGCTCCAAATCAAGCACTTATTTTATAAGTTGCCTTGGTCTTGGTGGTTTATCATGGCAATAGAAAAAGGAAGAAGTTTCTTTTTGGCCACCAATGGAGGCTATTACAGAGATCCACAACTGGTCAAAATGTGGAGAGCAAGTGACCAGGATGTTCAGCCCCACTTGGTACTCATACAACACTACCTCCGCATCTAAGGTGTGGGGAACAGAGAGGCAGAGGGGACAGAAAGCCTGTAAGAACCAAAGGACTGGGACTGCTGAAAAATCATGTATTCTTGGCTTGACAGGGACGCTGCACCTGTGAAATCTCAACATATTGTGGCCTAAATAGGCCTGCCTAATGGCAACAGGTGTTGGAAAAATTCCTGCCCCTTGGGGGAAGAGCTCCAGGCAGTCAATAGCTTCTGAGAGAGAGAATTGGTTTTCTCCAGCATGTGTCATCTGATAGGTTATCTGGTCCCAAGTGGTCAGCAGTAAACATATTGTTACATCTATGTAACAGCCATAGCTATGTTACAGATATAAGCCATGGATATAAGAGGAAGTGGGAAGGCAGAGATAGAGGGGGTGAAAGGGTGGATGAAAATAATGCAAATACATTATACATATCCATGAAATTCTTAAAAACTAAAGAAACAACAAAAAAATAAGATAAAGAGATACATATAATGCGAAAGAATGCTACCAGCGATGAGAGGCAGTCCATGAACTAAGTTCAGATCAGTCAGGATTAGTTCACTTACCATATTCTTATCCCACCACCCATTCAGCTTCTGTAATGTACCTTTGCAAACAAAGTTGTTTTTTCAAACATACCAATTACTGATGCTCCATCTTCTTGTCCACAGAGCTTCCCTGTAGAATGGCGGCGTTTCATGATGTGATATTCTCAATGTGACAAGCCATTGCTCATTGGTTTGTATTTTCTCCTACCCGTGGGGAACTGAGGCAGCAACTATGAACAGCCCTTGCACCCCAAGTTTGGAAAACTGGAAAAATGAGCCCGTATGGGAGCTCAGGGGATCTGTGCTCTCCAAGGTCACTAGCAAAGCAGAAAAGCTTCCCTGGGACTCCGAAGTGAAACCCTGACCACTCTGGGCAGAGAAACACGTTGTCAAGTGATTGCACAGGCTGGATCTGCTGTGGGACCCTCTTGTCACTACAGGGTGGGGGTAGAATGACTGTCCAAAGCACTGAAAAGGTTGGCCAAGCATGGCTCTAATGGAATGTGCTTTTGAGGAAATAAAAAAAGTCAAAGTTTTACCAAAGAACTAGGAAGACACGCAGATTCCCAAAGCCCTCATGGCTTTGCCTTCTCCTCTGAAAACTCTGAGCCAAATATTCCAGCTGTTTTCAGGAAAAATTATGGATGTTAGATGAATTTTCCCTTCTTTGACCACTAGCCAAAGACCATTGACCCAGCTCTGCTTAGGTTAGATGTCCAAACTGCTGATAAGAATCATTTTATTCCAATATCCAATTCATTTATGGAAGCAAACACAAGCCCACTTGCAGCCAGCCGATGAGTGAAAACTACAAACTAAAATAATAGGTGTCCGTATTCTTTCTACTGACCTTACAGGTTTTGTCTTCATTTCGCCTCAGGCGAAAACTAGCCGTGGACTTTCCCCAAGGCAGGAGGCTGCTTGGTAATCTTCACGGTCTCTTTTCTAATTAGCCCTTGAAACTTCTGTGTGCTATGAATATTTCATCGAATTGTCTATAAACAGGTTACATGGACAACAGAAACTTAGGTAATTAACATGAACACAAGAGTTAGAGCTTCAGCGGCTGCTTTGCATATCCAGTGACATTCCAGCCATGCAGCACATTTGCATTGTACGCGGCCTTATTATTCTAAATTACAGAAGAGGATGCTGAAGCTTGGCAGCAAGGAATGTTAGCTTTCGGGCTCTAAAGCCCTCTCCAGCTTTTTCAGCACATCCTTTGCCTGGTGTTTATTTGATGTTTGGAAAACACACTCGCATGTGTGAAAGTTTTCATCTCTCGCAATCAGACTAGACACTAATGGAAATGATTACTTCTCCCCCGGCAGAGAAGAACTGTAAACAGAAAATATTTCTGGATGTTTAGCAAGTCTTAGAGCATCTATACTGTGTGAGGAATAGAAATAAGAGCGGCAGAATCACCGTGAAGACACACCTGCATGTGTATCTAGGAGGGGATTTCTAGAAAGGGCTAACTGAGAAGGAAAGATTGGCCCTGAATGCAGGCAGTACGATCCCAAGGGCTGAGCTGGATATAAAAGAAGGGAGTGAGCCATGCACTCACTGCAGACACATGTGGCTGGCTGTCTCGAGCTCCTGCGGCCATGCCTCTACCGCTGTGATGGATAAGCACCCTCAAACTGAGAGCCAAAGCAAACCCTTCTTTCAGCTATTTTTGTTAGGAATTTTCTATAGCAGTTAGAAAAGCAACTATCATGCAGGCTATAGGCACGGTTTTCCAGCCATGAACACATTTTTAAATACAAAGGAAGTATTGTCCCACCACGTCTGTGATTATTACTGTGGCTCCTGCTGTTCTGGTATTTTGGGATTTTACACTGGTTGGATTGTTATAATCTTTTTCCTCTCTTGCAATTTCATCTCCCACCTTTTCTTCTATAGTATCTAGAAGATGCTTCGCAGGTTGAATGTCCACCATTCCCTGGGTTGCATCTTTGCCCTGGGTTATAGACTTCCCACTCCGCGGCGGTCTCCATTATGAAAAGGCCAGGGTATGCAGAGTGGCTTAAATCATGTGACTGTGCTGTTGCGGTCAGCAGAGAGTCACCTCATATCTCTGACTGGGAGATGGACCGCGCTCACCCCCGAGCCCAGCTTCCTATGAGTTCTTACCCAATGTGGCTCTGTTCAATAAGCGTGAGTCTTAACTGCTCATGTGTTTCCAGAAATCCTCTGCCTTCAGCGTATTTTCTGAGAGAATGCCAGTCTCTGTACGCACTGCACCCTCTATATTCCTGGCTCCTTTGTGTGGGATGAGGTGACATCACTATGTAATTGATACAAGAAGAGGTGGATCGAAAGAGAGTTCCAGGGAGTCAGATCTGGTCCTCTGAGCATCTAGTTCCAGTACGGAAGAAGAGCTGCTCTCCGTAGCCTGGTTCTTCAGCCCCAAGAACTGACTCAGGATCAAGAGAGGATGAGTGAAGCTATCTGGGATCTCGCTGACCAATTGCCTTGGACCAAAGAATGAAACACACAGAGCTAGAGTGTTTCATCAAACCAACCCTCTGGCACTGTGCATGACAACTATTTCCCCTTGATATCTATCAATGAAACTATATATATTTTGCATATGTGTTTGTTTGTGAGTGGGTACCTGTATGTAGGCCTGTGTGGGTGAGTGGATGCCCACAAAGGTACTCATGCATGTGGAAATCAAAAATCAATATGAGCTGTTTTCCTCAACCCTTCCTTTTTTCCATTCTCTTATTTTTGAGACAGGGTCTCTCACTGAACAAGGAAGTAACTGACTAGCAAACCTCAGGGAAACTTTTGCTTCCATCTCTCCAGCCCTGGGAATACAGGCATGTACTACCACCCTCAGCTTTGGGTGTGCCTGGGAGGGTACTAGCCACACAAACTTAGGTCCTCGTGCTTGCGTGGTAACCGCTTTAAGAACTGAGTCATCTCCCCACATGTTGAATTATATTTTCAGAGAAATCCATGGATTCAGGAAATACAGTGCACCTCAGGTAAACACATTGCTAATTTTACATATGTTCAATGGACACATTTTCTCCAGAGGACAACATATTCGCTCTACATCTGAACATTACATTTCCAATGAAAAGCATGACACTCTGCCCCTGCCACAGTGCCAAATGACGCTTACCAGTGGGATTCCAGAACAGGACACAAAGGGTTAAACATTGGTGTCATGCCTCCGGAACAGGCAAGGCTGCCCTGTAAGGCAGCCTGAAGAGCCCTGACCACTTCCCCAAACTTCTGAGTATGCAGAGTCATCCCCTGTTAAAGTCAGCATGGAGTTCAGCTATGCCTTGCAGACTCATCAGAAGGAAAAAGATGTACCAGTATCTTTACCTTATAGTAAATCCTGGACACCAAACTCCGCTGAAGAACCCTTTCTCGAAAATCCACTGCTTTTAGCAGAAAGGTGAGATGGCCCACTGTGTCAGTGTTAAATGCCAGGAAACTGGAGAGGAAACACAGAGAACATTGCTGTTAGTTTGACTTTTCAAAAAAAGTCACTTTCAAGAGCTCCCCAAGGAGGATTTATAAGGTATAGTGAGAGCAGAAGAGATGGCTCAGCAGGGAGTGGTTAAGAACCCACACACCCTGCACTTATGGAGGAGTTCGGTTCCCAGTACTTACATCACAGCTCAGAACTCCAATGCCCTGGCCTCTGCAGGCACCTGCACTCGCATGTATAAGTACACACCCAGACACACACACATATACATATAATTTTTAAAAATATTAAAAAAAATAAAGGTGCCAGACAGATGTCTCAGTGAGCAAAACAGCATACAAACCTAATGATTTCAACCCTTGGATTCCGCAGTGGAAGAAAAATCAGCTCCCAAAAGTTGTTCTCTAACCTCCATACATACACCGTGGCCCATGTACACACACACACACACACACACACACACACACACACACACACACACACTATGATGATGATTGCTATGATAACAATGTATATTTAAAAACCAAAAGCACTTTCTTCCTGTAGGCAGGCATTATGAACATGCACCTCCCTCCCAACTCCCATTGGCATATATGTGCTTTTTGCAGCACTTCTTGGCAAGGGCTTGGCTCCGGGTTTTTCTGCATATTTACCCTCTCGGTCTAGAAGCAATATGACGTCCTGCTTTTCCTGCTGACCATGGCATATTAAGCAAGAGTCAGTATTGTACATGCAGCTTTTCTTTATTAACACTTATACAATTCCCATCAAATGAAGCTTCTAACAACTTCCAATATTTTTGAGTTACTAGTATCCAGTATTGAGCTCTTATTGAGCATTATCTATATTGAGTCATTATTATCTGGCATGCAGATACCATCATAATTAACATATTGTTCAGGAAACTGACTCAGGAGGATGCAATCACCTGCTGGATGTCACAGAGAGAACACCTAGACTTGGTGAGTTTTATTTGGGGTTATACCAATGTTGGAGGTAATAGGTGTCCCACAGGGCTATCCAAGTAAATAGATTATGCTCTCCCTTGTGAGGCAGCCATTGATAGTGTCCCCATTTGACTAAAGGGGAAACTGAGGCATGGGGGCATCAATAGATTTGAAGACCAATAGGCAAAATGGCCCCCGCCCTGGGTTTTTCCTCACTCACGCCTGACTTGGTGCTGGTTTTGTGTTTCTTCTCCATGAACCTCCCAATAACCTAGACCACAAGGGACAGGAGTACCATTGAGATGGCCCCGCAAGAAAAGGTGCTGTCTGTCAAACTTGATGACCCAAGTTCAATCCCGGGGCCCACACAGTGGAATAAGAGAACAGACGTCTCTAAGTGTCCTCTGACCTCCACACACATGCTAGGACATGTGCACACACCAAAACTCCCAAGTAAATCATTAAATAATATTTTCAAAAATGTGTGTTCCACTGGCTTGCTTCTCTGTTGCCATGATAGAACGCTGACCCAAACCAATTTGGGAGGCGGTCATTGATTTGGCTTATATTCCCTGGTCATTCTCCATCACTAAGGGCAGTCAGGGAAGGAACTCAAGGCAGGAACCTGGAGGCAGGAACTGCTTACTGGCTTGGCCTCATAGCTTGCTCAGCTCAAGACCATGTGTCTACAGGTAGAACCATCCCCACAGGGATGGGCCATCACACATCAACCATTAATCACAAAAATCACCCACAGACTTGCCCATGGGCCAATCCGATGGGGGAATTTTCTCAATTGAGTTTCACTCTTCTCGTGTGACTCTAGGTTACGGCAAGTTGACTGAAAACTGGCAAGTATGTATGAAGTGAATTCATGCTAAGGTTTGCCCATAGCTCACCTTCCTTTTCCCTGCACCCTGGTAAACTGAGTGATTTTAATACCCAAACAAGTCAGATTCCCACTAATTAACCCTTAAAACCCAAGTCATTGCTGTTCATTATAAGCAGAAGAGCATCCTTCACGAGCCAGAATAGCAAAGTGCTGACTGAGAATTTATCTTTCACGGAGACAGAAGGTAGAGGGGGATGCTTACACACTCCGTTCTGGGGAAATCTCATTATATATCAATGCTCATTCTGAACCTAGCGTCAGAAAGCCAAGTTCCTGACTCAGCCTAGTTCATAAAAGATACAAAGAACTCACATCATTCATTTTTTAAAGCGTGCCTTAGTCATCCAGGAGCTAGTCTATGAAACCCAGAGCCGTGAATGTTTGTGTTGGACACTGCCACTGGATCCTGGGGTGCTTACCACAGGTCCATGTCTATTCTCTCAAGTCTGTGCACTGTGTGTGCAGGACCTCACTCACACATCTGTGTTCTCTGTGACTCCAAAGAAGTCACCCAAAGTAGAAAGCCTTGAAACCTGGACCACCGCTAAAAGGGGTCTCTCGGATAGCTGCCTGTTTTACAACGGAGTCAGAATGGCTGTAGAATTAAAACTAGATTAAATGCAAATGTGCATCATTGGTCCTCAGAGAAATGCAAAGGAAATTGGGAGAGAAACAGCACCCTACACCCAGAAGTCTGTCCAAAATTAAATACACTGTGTCAAATGTTGCCAAGGACACAGAGAAGCCAGAATGCTTATACCTACCCATGAAAGTGTCAAATAGCCAAACCCACTCTGGAAATCTCTCACAGTTTCTCATAAAATAAGCACATGCGTTATGACCTAGCAATTCCATGTCTCCTACATGCCCAAGAGAAATCAAGAGAAACACTCATAAAAGGCTTATATAAGAATATTCATAGCTGTCCTGCTCATTGGACTGAAAAGCAAGAAACATCCCAGGTGTCTATCTGTTATACGAGAATGGAAACAAATCATAGCATACCCATAAAATACCACTAAGTAATAAAAGGGGAAGAAGTAATACATGGGACACCATGAGTAAATCTCAAAGAGCATTATATTGAATTATTGAGGCAGCCACAAAAGAGTAGAGTTGGTATGTTCCATTTCTATGAAATCCTAGAATGGGAAACTCTAGTCTTTGGCAGAAAAACATCAGAATAATCTGTATGTATTTGCCAAAACTCAACAAGTGTATATTTAAAACACGTGAGGGGTATCATAAGAAAGTTCCAAATAAGAGGAAAAGGAATTGTCCCCACAGGTTGACAATGCTCTTTCAAAGCGTGCTAACGCCTGTAGTTTACTTTAAAATGCACAGGAAGGAGATGACTAACGAGTGACGTCATCCGTGGATTCCCGTTAATGATGTTCTGACTGTATAATAATGATCCCACAAGCTCACAAGGGAACTGAAAACTTTACCACTGTCTAGTGGTAACGTGGCCAATCATAAAATCATAACACAAGAGCCAGGTATGGTGGCACATGACTTTAATCCCAGAACTCAGGAGGCAGAGGAAGGCGGATCTCTCAGTTTGAGGCTAGTCTGGACTGCCGAGCATGTTCCGGGACAACCAGGGCTACACAGAGAAACCCTATCTTAACATAAAAAAAAAGAAAGGAAAAGAGATCAGAGCACACACCCAGGACTTGTGTGCTTCTGCAGATGCTGCTCCAGACAGCTTTACTGTGCTGCCTGTCAGTCGTATAAAAGTACAGCAAAGTCATATAAAAGATACCAGCAAACAGATATAAGATGTAGTGCTATATAATGATAATAACTATGTTAGACTTTTGTGTATTTACTACCTTAACGTTATTTTAGCATATAATGTAAAAAGAGTTGTTAAAATCTTTACTCTTATAGTTTGCCATGCTCCATCGGTGATGGTCTGGTACACGTGTGGTAGTACCGTGTCCTGTGATTTCACCAAGTGTTCAAGCTGAACATTCATCTATACTGTCCAGATTTGTCCATGATATTCCCACTACGAAACATCCTGAGGTCTCACTTCTCAGAACTCGTCCCTGTTGTCGAGTGACACAGGATTGTGTCTATGGTGGAGATTTAATGTGAGCAATAAATAGCGTGTTCATAGTATAATTTCCATGGGAGCCTCTTCATGGAAGGTGAATACATGAATCTTTACCCTCAGATCCTTCAAGTCTTGTTGCATATCTGACAAGTTTTATAATCTGATATAGATAATGCTTCACTGTGAGGCAAAATCTTGGCTCTCCTCGATATCCAGAGGCTTCTGTAGAGCTTTCTAGACTGATATGAGTAGAGAGGGTAACAGTTGCAGGCCCACCTGTAGGAGGGCACAAGGCAGAACTTCCTGGGACAACCCAGTATAATCCAGGGCGCTTCTCCCTGCCAAGCCGCATCTGTTTTCCCCATGCCAGTCTCATGAAGTCTTTGAACCATGCCTCCACCTATACAGTCCAAATGAAGGACAGCCTTGGGTGACCCCACCATGGCTTCCTTGGGTGACCCCACCATGGCTTCCTGCTTGGAGGAACTTCATAGTATCGGTGCGCGCTCATCCCTTCTTTCTGCATGTCCCCACCTGATCCTGTGTTCTTTCCCTGAACATTATTGCTAAGAGACTCCATCATGCGCACTGGAGCCTAAGTCCCATGGGAGCAGAGTCTAGCTACTGCTGTGTCACAGCCTTGTCCAGGGCACAGGGAATACCGGAAATGTGTTGGTGGCAATAGCTTGCCTCAACAGAAAAGCCAATGTGTGGGATTTAAGTGAATAAGCATCAACATATGGAATGAGTAAATCCTGGCTGTGTAAGACAGAAAACTGTTCTAGAGGTTGTTTCAGTTCCTTTTCTATTTCTGACGAGGCACCATGACCGAGACAACTTACAGAAGAAAGGGTTTATTTGGGGCTTACAGTTTCAGGAGTCTAGAGTCCAGGACCATCATGGTAGGGAGTATGGCAGCAGGCAGGCTGGCACAGTGCTGGAGTAGTAGCTAAAAGCTTACATCTTGAGACACAACTCCCAGGCAGAGAGAGCTAACTAACAATGGCATGGGCTTCTGAAACCTCAAAGCCCACCCTCAATGACACTCCTCCTCCAACAAGGCCACACCTCCTAATCCTTCCTAAACAAGTCCACCAGTCGAGGACCAAGTGTTCAAATACATGAGCCTATGGGGTCATTCTCATTTAAACCACCAGAGGTTAATAACTAGACAAAAATATAAATGGGCTAGCACTTTCCAAATACTTCTATTTGGAATAATGCCTTGGCACCTCTCAAATCTATCCTGGACAGTTTGCAGAGGGTACCAGTTTGCATGCTGAGCATGCCACGCTCCCATGACAGAAACAAATCCTGCTCTGTTATCTGAAAAAGAAACAAAACTGGGGATAATTTGCTCCCAGTTGTGAAGAAGTTTCCCAAAGCTGATTTCTCCCCATGTTCCAGAAAAGACGAGCAAAGTGTTTTACTAATTTGTACAAAATACCAAAATACTGAACGCAACTCCACGACCACCAAAGGTGAAGATAGAGTAAGACAATCAGATTGTGGCAGGGTAGCCAGCCAGTGGTGGTGCATGCTTTAAGTCCTAGCACTCAGGAGGCAGAAAATCTGTGAATTTGAAGCCAGCCTGGTCTACACGAGCTTGTTCCAGGACAGCTAGGGCTACAAAAAAAAAATTATGGCATGGATACATGCAGAACTATTACAACATGTTGCAATGAAGCTGCCTGGCCTGGCTACTTAAATAGAAAGCTTAGGTAAACCATAGAAGCAAAATCTCCGGAGAAAACAGAAAGCTATGGAATACATTGGATATCATGCCTTTCCAGTTACAGTCAATGTACTAAAAACAAATAATAACAACCAAACCATAGATTCCCCAAGCTGGACTAGCTGGGGTCAGATCTTAGCCCTGCCACCCATACACATGTAACTTTGAGAAAAACATTTGACTTCTTCACCTCAGTTTCTCCACCTGCAAAATGTAAATAAGAGCCTGCCTCAGGGAGTTTTAAGACTGAAGCTCACAGAATAAAAATTAAAGAAGGAATTTGGGAGAAAGGGCAGTGTAACATGAGGAGCAGCTTGTTGGGGTTTCTGTTCTGCCTGGTACCCCACAACCGGCAGGTTCCAAAGAAAATCACATAGAGTCTACATTAGGTTATAAACTGATTGGCCCATTAGCTAAGGCTACTTATTAGCTCTTATAACTTATGTTACCCCATTATCCTTATCTATGTTAGCCACATGGTTTAGTACCTTTTCCAACAGGGCAGCTTACATCTTTTCTCTCCGGTGATCTGGGCAGGAATGGCAGAGGGAGCTTTCTGCTTCCCAGAATATTTCTGTTCTCATCGCCCCGCCTCTACTTCCTGTCTGGTTGACCCACCTATACTTCTTGCCTGGCCAATCAGCGTTTTAATAAAATACATGGTTGACAGAATACAGATAATTCTCCCGCACCACTTCCCCTTCTTTTTTTTAAAAAAAGAACAAAGGAAAATATCCATAGTCCATTTTTTGGGAATGTGGGTGTAGTATTCCAGGCTACTTCCTGCTGGTTGGGGGCGCTGATGATCTTATGGGGACCTAAAGAAAATTTAAAGTTATAATCAAGTTCTGACTCGAGTATCCTGTGAGTCTTGATCATCTAGAAAGAAAGGGAGAAGAAATGATGTGGGAGAATTATCTGTATTCTATCAATCATATTTTAATAAAACGCTGATTGGCCAGGCAGGCAGCATAGGCAGGAAAGCCAGACAGGAAGTAGAGGCAGAGCAAAGAGACTGGGAATATTCTAGGAAGCAGGAAGCTCCCGCCGCCATTCCTGCCCAGACCACCGAAGAAGCAACATGTGAGCAGACAGCTGAAAAAGGTACCAAGCCACGTGGCTAACATAGATCAGAATAATGGGTTAAGTCATAAGAACTAATAAGTAGCCTGACCTAATAGACCAATCAGCTTTATAACTTATAGAGATCTCTGTGTGATTGATTTTCTTTGGGACTTGTCAGCTGTGGGGTACTGGGCAGGAACAGATACCCCAACAAGCCAGCCCTCATATTACAGGGCAGAACCAGAAATAGTTTAAGTTGGGCGGTAGGCACAGAAGCATCCATCTTACATATTCCCTACTGCATTTGCAAGCATCAGATACTAAACTTGTCACGCAGGAGCAAGGTGGCCCATGCCATGTCTCTATCAACAGACCCAGAGTAAAACCCTTAAGGAGCTAAGGACACTATCTTGGGCCATGTGTACCTGGTTCTCAGCTTGTCACTGGCAGTGGCAGTCCAGTTCTGGATCAGTCCCAAGATTGGGTTCTTCTCATACTGCTTGTTGTACTGGGCCAGCAGTTCCCGGGCCACAACCTGCACAGAAAGTTAATCCTGCATCAGCCGTGTCTCACAAGTGTACGGCCTATCAGTGTCCTCAAATGCGGCAGTCAGATTAAGTCCACCTGCTATTAGCAAGCTCTTTGGAAAGAAAGAAATCTAACACCCCATCCTTCTGGGGGCCTCCATAGCTCATGGTAGATATGTGGCATTTACCAGACCACTCTGCTCCCACCCCATAGTTGAGTCCTAACTCTGGAGAACTTCTCTCTCTCCCTTGGCTTCTGCCAGCCTCCCACATGAGCCTTGGAATCAGCCATCTCTTAGTCGATGTATCACATGAAATCTGCTTTCAATGGCCCAGACATCTCTGTTCCTTTTTCTGCTTTTGACCTTCTCTGGTTGATTAAACCTTTGGAGAATACTATTAAAATACGCTAGGCAGTGGTGGTGCACGCCTTTAATCCCAGTGCTCAGGAGGCAGAGGTAGGTGGATCTCTATGAATTCGAGGTCTGCCTGATCTACAGAATTCGTTTCAGGACTGCCAAGGCTACACAAAGAAATCATATCTCACACCTACCCATCCCCCACACAAAAAAACCCGCAAACAAAGCAGTCTGTCATTATCCACCAATTTATCAATATCTACCCCTCCCATCACTTTAAAGTTAGAATTTTGTTTCAGACACTGAACACTGTTGCAGATCCGTTCAGAGATATCTGTGGGTCAGCCACAACGGAGGCCCAGCCGACAGTTCACAGCTAGAACTCCATGCGTGAGTGGTGTAACTTGGCTCAACCTGTCACTGACCACCAGCCCTATAGGAAGAAAGAGTCCAAGCAGAACCAGCCAAACCTTGAACCACACTGCCTAAGATCAGGCTGCATGGTGACTACAGTCCCACACTAACAAATGGCTGTCAAGGCATCCCAGCCAAGGGGTACGGCCCTCAATTCTAGAAAATGTTCCTTGTTAATTTGCAATAGCATGCATATTCTCTCTCTCTCTCTCTCTCTCTCTCTCTCTCTCTCTCTCTCTCTCTGTGTGTGTGTGTGTGTGTGTGTGCATATGTGTGAGTAGGCACACTCACCCATATGTGGGAGTGTGGAGACCCAAAGTAAATGTCAGGTTTCCTATCCATTGCCCAACCCTTGACTTTTTTTTTTTTTGCCACAGGTTTCCTGGTTGAACCTGGAGCTTGACATCTTGGCTAGGTTGGAGGAGGGAGCTCCTGGGGTCTGCCTGTATCCATTCCCTGAGTGCTAGGGTCAAGGATACACACATACACACATCACACCCATGGGTGCTGGGGATCTGACCCAGGTCCTTCATGCCTACCTAACAGGCATTTGTCCATCGAACTGGCACCCCAGTACTTAACCCTTATATCAACACATTCAGACAGCACTTGCCTTTTTCAGTCACGGAAAATATATCTTCACGCAAATGAATGCAGGGCTCTTAGAGAAAACCACACTGCTCACGGGAGATGCTGGAAGCTCTCAGAGATTTTTTCTTTCTTTCTTTATTATTTTTTTCTTTTCTGTAGGAACTTTGTTAGCATTGGTGCATGTGTGCAGGTGTGCAACGCATGGGACAACCTCATCCACAGAGGACTACACTACCTGCCATGTTCTACCACAGGCCATGTCAAATGCTGGTAGGAGCCTGGAATCTGACTCGGTTACAGCAAAGCTGTTGGGTTCTCTGGTGCCAGACTCTGGGAATATTAAGCTGCCTGGTGAAGGAGTAAAGACAGAGATCAGCTTTAGGTCAGCACACAGTGACACAGCCATTCTCTCCTTCCCTACCAATGGTATGCTGCAATACTCCCAGCTGTAACTGGTGTTTAAGCCTCGCTGTAGTCGACATTTGAGGCTGTCCTGGAAATTCTCTGTAGAAATGTAGGCATTGCTACGTCTTACTGAGATTTTTATTTTGCTTTATTATAACTGATTTCCAGGCATCACCATGGCTCAGTGGGTAAAAGCTCTCGCCGCTGACTCTGATGACCTGAGTTCAGTCCTCTGCAAGGTTGAAGGAGAGAGCCGGTTGCTACAAGTTGTCCTCTAACCTCCCAGTTCTCTGGCAGGAAGCAGAGGAAGCCCTGCATGAGTGGAGCCCTGAGTAAAGAGTAAATGTCCGCTGTTGATACCGGCATGACCGTGCCAAGGACCGCGAGCTTTAGATCCACGGGGAAGTGGTAAAGCCTTCCCCACTGGGGTGAGTCCCAGCAAATACAAAAGCCTCCCCTTGGGGTGTAAGTGCAAGTGTTGATAGTGTGGGCAGAAAATAGCTTCTCCCAGCCCCACCATGTTTATGGACAGAACACTGCTCTCCTTTAAAGACTGCTTCCATGAGATTAGCCAAATCTTCCTGCTTAATTCAGCCGTGTACAGTAATCCCAGAGCCCCTGCTTATCTGCATGCAGTAACCATGCTTACCTGTTCAGTGCTATACAATAAACACTCTGGTTTCCCGGCTGCAGCTTTTCCTGCAGAGAGTCCCAGTCTACCCTAAACCAGGATTTTTGACTGTGTGTATGTTATTTCTTTACTCATTCACACCTCCTCATCAGGTCAAGTCTCTAGAACTGTGTGAGGACATGACATTTTTTGTTTGGTCCCTTGAAGCATTGTCTTGAAATTTCAAATTTATGTCTTTAGGGGCCAGAAAGATGACTCAGAGGTTAAGTGTACTGGCTTCCAGAGGACACAGGTTTGATTCCCAGTACACATCTGGCAGGTCACAACCTTCTGTAACTCCAGTTCCAGGGAACTGGATGCCCTCTTTTGGCCTCCATGGGTTCACAGACATACATACAGGCAAAACACTTATATACATAAGATAAAAATAAATAAATATTTTCAAAAATAAGGTTTATCTTTAGACTGACCACATGGCCAAAGGTTTTTATCTTAGGATAAAGAGGGTGAAATGAAATATGAGAGGTCAAGTAACATGAGCATTTTTATGACAGCTACAGCTATATAAAATAAGCGTGAAAACCAAACGCTGCCAACAGCGAGAGAAGCAACTAACTCTAAGTGGAAGTGGAATTAAAATGACCCAGCAGTCAAGCTCAGGGTTCACCGCTGTCTTATGAGCACTAACAGTTGCAGGTTTTGTTCTCTTTAATTTATAATTGTTCCAACTTGATCTCCCTCTAGTTCCAAAAGCAACATCATTCCAGCTGTTAAACACTGGCTGTTTCTGATTCCTGCCCACTGCAGTTTTCCCTGCATTTACTGCCCCCACAGAACAAAGCAATGTTGGCCGCTGTGGTCTCCCCGCTGTCTGGAATGTAGGTGTAAGGAGGGCAGATGTATTTCTTCTTCACCAGCAGACAAGGAACAACAAACTGGAGAGTCCAAAAGCCACTGGATTCAAGTTTGCTCTCGACCGAGCGAAGTGAACAGGAATGTTTCCGTCCTAACTTCACTGCCTCTCTCCAGTCTCGCAGTGACACCCTCTAACTCTGTCACTGCTGAATCTTTCTGATTTAAGCGACTTAAATTGGGAGGATTAAGTCACCCTAATTAGAATAAAATTAGAATGATATAATAATCAACCTCCTCCTGCTAAATTTAAGAGAGACATGAGAAACTGCCCCCTGGCTAGCGCCGCAGAAGCGGAGAACTCACTTGTGGGTCTCTACTCCTTTTCTAGGCCAGACACAAATCGACATGCTTTCCAAATGGGTTATTCTGCGCAGCGGATGGCTCCGCGGTGAGGCTCCAGGTGTAGGCGGACTTCCTTGTCACAGTGGTAAATATCCAGCCACACAGCGCAATGGGAGGGCCTGCTTGGGCTCACAGTTTCAAGGCACAGAGGGCACAGAGGGGCACAGAGGGGCAGAGAGGGGCAGAGCTGCAGGGAGGGTAGAGTAGGGCAGAGCCACAGGCATTGCGGTGCCCAGAAGGCAGAGGCAGAGAGGAGCCCACTCACTGACTTTCTCCTGTCCCCTGGTCATTCCAGCTGGTCTCCAGGCTGATGGGATGGTACAGTCAAGGGTCTTCCCTCCTGGATAATCCTCATCCTCATAGGCATACCAAGGTTGTTTTGATAATCTTCCAGATAGTTCTTAAATCTAATTTAGTAGAATGATCTCCCAGACTAGTGATAGATGCTCTCGGTCACTGAGATTCAGGGGCTCTAGATTCAATACTTTATCAGACAAAATTAACAGACAAGGTCAAGCCAGGTCAAAGGCCTGAGCTGAGCCTGAAGCTAAGCTGGGTATTTCCACCTGTGAAACCTGTCCCTGAATAGACTGTAATAGACTACGCTTTATATTTTTATCATATTTCCACTATTTTTGCAGCTTCCCCTTAAAACCATCACAGATTCAAAAGAAGCTACAAAAGTAAAGCAGCACAGAGCCACTGAGGAAAGTGACCTCATACGTGACAACAGTGCTTCTCAAGGCAGGAGACTCTGCAGCCTGTTTATTCACCGTGATTTTATTTATAGGAGAGATTTCATTATTTAAAAAATAATATCCTTTTCTTTATCTCTTTTCTGTTTTTTATTTGTCTGTTTATCGGCTGTCTTGAAACTCATTCTGTAGACCAGGCTGTCCTGGAACTCATAGGGCTGCCCCTGCCCCTGCCCCTGCCCCTGCCCCTGCCCCTGCCCCTGCCCCTGCCCCTGCCCCTCCCCTGCCCCGCCCCGTCCCCGTCCCCGCCTCCGCCCCTGCCCCTGCCTCCCAAGTGCTGAGATTAAGGGTGTGCGCCACCACTGCCTGGTTTAAAATATATTCTTTATAAAATGAAAAATTTTAATGCAAGTGGTTACATCTTTCTCCAGGTCTGCTGTTGTCCTTATATCAAAATCTTCTCAAGGAAGGCTGTGATACGGTTTCTGTCTGGGGATTAAGTCTGAGGCCACTCACACCACTCTCTGGTTCTGAACATGAGTGAGTGCCCTGTTTTCTTGAATATCTAGCCAACAGTCTTTTCTTTAAACTTGGAAATGACTGAATTGACAGAGCAGACACATATAAAGCCCCATCTACAGAAGGAATCAAACTAA